TCTGCACCGAATCTCCACCACCATTTTAACAACATACAATCATTCACCTCACCCAAATCTCTCACACCCAAACCCCCTTGATTTTTATTCTTAGTAACCTCCCCCCAATTAACCAAGTGAACACTCCTCACATCTTTAGATCCACCCCACAAGAACTTGGCTTGGATTTTCACTAGAGCCTTATCAACCCCTTTAGGCATCTTAAACAAAGATAGAAAGTACAAAGGCAAGTTAGAAAGGACTGATTTTATTAATGTCAAACGCCCAGCGAAAGACAGGAGTTTCCTCTTCTAAGAAGACAACCTCTTACTCACCTTGTCCAGAATTGGGTTCCAAGTACACTTTCTCCTCGGGTTGGCCCCAAGAGGCAATCCTAAGAAGTTAAAAGGTAATTTCTTCGATAGACAATTCAATCTATGGGCTAAACCCTCAATTTCATCAACTTGGAAGCCCACCCCACAAACAGCGCTCTTGTGGTAATTTATTTTTAAACCCGACATCACTGCAAAACACCTCAACACCCTTTTGATATTAATTACCTCCTCCTGACCTCCTTCACAAAGCACTATGGTGTCATCTGCGAACTGGAGATGAGAGATGCGCAAATCATTACTACCAACTGAGGCTCCTCTGAACAAACCCTTCTCCACTGCCCTTGCTAATAATAGGTTAAGAGCTTCCGCTGCGATTATGAACAGAAAAGGAGAGAGGGGGTCACCCTGCCTTAGCTCCTTCTGTGGCTGGAATTCCTCTGTCGGTGAGCCGTTAACCAACACGGAAACCCTGGCTGAAGAAATGCAATTTCTCATCCAAGTTAACCACTTCTCACCAAAACCCAAGTTTTTCATCATCGACCACAGAAATTCCCAGTTAAGTGAGTCATAAGCTTTTTTGAAATCCAATTTCAGAATTATACCTCTCTTTCTAGATTTCTTCCATGCATCTACAACTTCATTTGCTATGAGCACACCATCCCCGCCTCGTTGAATATATTTTTTGGGAAAAAACCGCTCAAATCGAGTCGGAAGATCAGGTCCCCGTCGGGCCGAGTTTAAATTGTTTTTCCTAATTATTATATCCATTTGCATAAGAGACATAACATTTATTTAACTTATTATTATCTTTTATTCATTATTTATTGTTTATTTATGTGGGACGGATCTTGGAAATCCGAGGTGTGACAAGAGTTATGGCTTTGATTCGTTTCTGGCGAAGACAGTAAAACCGGCTCCAACAGTGATGCATGGCTATCGGAGGCTTCAAAGGCGCTAGAGATGAGCTAAGATTCTTGCGATGTGTTGATTCACTCAAACATTGTTGTTTGGAAAGAAATATGATCTAAAAAAACAGATCAGATCTGAAAACAACACTCAAATATTTTTTTTTTCCTTATAGATTCCAACAGGAAAAGAGAGTTGTGGATTAGATTCCTTAGAGTTGTTCATTGTAAAGCCTTCGTAATTTATCTTCTTTTTTTTTTTTATCAAACCTTATATCATTGTGGATTAGAGATATTTTAGTTTTTTTTTTTCCTCCTTGTTCTTGTTGTTGTTGAATAGATAATGATGATAATGAGATAGAGATAAAGATTTGTTTGGTGTGTTGTTGTTGCTACAGTGAATAATTTCAACAGATAGAAAAGAAGAAAAACAAGTTTAAAATTTTTTGAACAGATAGATTATACTTTTGTACTTTTTAAACAGATAGAGAAAGAAATCCACTGATTTTAAACATATATAGAGAGAGAAATCCATTTTAAACAAATAAGGAAATCTACATATTTTAAACACACACACACACATACACACACACACACACACACATATATATATATATATAGAGAGAGAGAGAGAGTGAGAGTGAGAGAGAGAGAGTGAGTGAGAGAGAGAAACCCATAGATTTTGAACAGATAGAAAAAAAAAATGCAATTGATAGATATAAATTTGAGCAGATAGTCAAAAAAATTTAAATAGATAGACATAAATTTGAACAGATAGTTATTGAAAAAGGTCAACAGATAAATAAAGGGATAAAATTAAAAAAAAAATGTCCTCCAAGATTAAAAAAATAACTTCTCACCAAATTATTTCATAATGGATGGATTTCTTATCAACAAAAAATATCTATTATACCTATTGTCTTACACCCTCTTTGCCTTAAATTTTTCAACAATTTACTCTATAAAAAAAAATTATTAATGCTTGGACTATTTTATCTTTGGTAGAGTTAAAAAAAAAAAAAGAGTAAGGATAAATATAAAACTAATAACTTATTTTATTGATATCAATTTAAAAAGGTGTCATTGTATTTTTAAATTAAGGGTAATATTACATCTATTTAAAATCATACTAACAATCTTACTAAAGATAAACATGTCCAAACAACATTGCGTATTTAAATATATATATATATATATAACTAATCACATTTGACCTTTTATATTTTTAAGTATAATTATTAGTACGTATATAATTATTCTAAAACAAAAGTATAATAATTGTATTATACATGTGATTTACTTGACGGGTACTTGACCGCTAATTTTGTTTTTATCTATTTTTAGAATTTTTTTCTTCAACATATATTTTTAATGCCATTATTACAAATTTATATTTTTTATGTAAACAAAATAAATAAATTACTAAATAATTGGGATAGACTATTCAAATTACACTTAGGGTAGAGTATAAAAATTTGTCCATTTAAGTTTGGAAATTTTAATTTGTTTTCTATCATAACTTTGAGTAAGAATGAGCATCGATAGGTTTGAGTGGTTAGAGTTGGATCAGATACTACAAGTGGCTTCCGATATATAATAATAAAAATTAAAAAAAAAAGAAAAAAAAACCAACAACAACAACCATTAAGATAATATTTCTGGGCCCTAGACCAAACATTAAAGAATTATCTTGGCCTATGCCTAATCTCACCCGTTGATTTATTTATTTATTTGTTTTAAATTAGAAAATAAATATTGTTATATTAAAAATAAGATATATGTACATATTTATTACAAAATTTAATCTTGGGTAAGAAATAATAAATTTTTATTTTAAACAATTACATCAATTTATGATATATTTATGTATGAGAAAACTATCTAAGACTTGGTTGGGCTTACGAACCAAGTTCCAGCCTAGACTTTTCCCAAAAAAAAAAAAAAATTGATTGGTTTGGAAAAAATCAATTTAAACTTTACCTTCAAATTATATTATAATTTCTCAAGTTGATATGAATATATATATATTTGAAAGATGGGAACATGATCTAACTTGAGGGTGTTAAAACAGTGTTAGATGCTAAAAAAAGTTGATATTTCTAGCTCACCTTCAAACCATAAGCCTCTTGACCTACTTTTCTATTTAGTTTTAAAATGGTAAAGTATATTTTTTTAATATATTTTACAATAAAAAATATATATTTCATATCTATAGAAGATATAGATATAGATATGGAACGTGTTTATCTACTTTTATTTGAATTCTTCAGCTAAATATTTTCGTATGGTGTATGATTAATAAGCATTGTGCTTGTTTCTTTAGATGTGAATAAATTAAATTAGTTTTATATGATAGATAGTTTTATTTCAAGTGTAGGGACACGTTTGTTAGCGTGAGTCAGTTAGTAGGGTGGGGGATTGAAGGGTGTGGGAGATTCAAAATATTTGGTTGTATTGCAGTTAAGATTTATTTTTTGATCCGCAAAAGAAAAAAACTTTATTGATGCAATTAAGATCTACTTAATTAGTTTTGTGTTTTGTTTTTTTGTGTCTTTATAATTAAAAAATTCATGAGGTTGAGGAATTGGTTGTGTGGATGACTAGTTTTGTGTTTTGTTTTTTTCTCTTTATAATTAAAAAATTCATGAGGTTGAGGAATTGGTTGTGTGGATGACTAGTTTTGTGTTTTGTTTTTTTCTCTTTATAGTTAAAAAATTTGTGAAGCAGGGGAATTGGTTGTGTGGATGTGAACAATAGTAGTATGTGTATTTGTATTTTTCGAATCTCTCTATGTGCATTTCATTTCATTTTACCCTTAATTTTATATTTTTAATAAAATTTTCACTTTGCCGATCAAAAAAAATATATATATATATTAATTATATATTATATTAAATTAGTTTAAAAGATTTTGAGGATTCTCACATCTATAATACGCGTGCATAATACATTTCAAAATATGATTAATCATATTTAAATTAGTTTTATATATCATTAGAATTATATTTGGACTTTCATTTAAAAATAAATAAATTTCAAATTAAATGTATTTTAGATATAATAATGGGATTTTTAGTTTAAGGTTCTTGATATTAAGATTTTATATAAAAAGAAAATGACATGTCACATTTTCATAATAATTGGGATCCTTTAACATTTTCACAGAGAGATTTTTGACACAGAGAAATTTCGATGCAAAAAAAAAAAAAAAATTAGCACAAAAAATTTTTATAGAGAAATTTTAGCTCTTCACAGAGAAAATTCAAAGTAAGTGAGAAATTTCTCTAATATGATCGCGAAGAAATTCAAAGAAATTATCATACAAAAATTTCAAAAATGAAGAATAAAAGAATAATAATGATAATGATAATGATAATAGCAAACTGACAGAGATATTTCTTTTTTGAGACCGACTCCCAACGCTGGTAGTCTCGCTACTTCCGCTGACTGAAGAGGCAATTCTCTCTCTCTTTGGATGTACTGATGTATATGTATAATGTGTGGGTGTGTATGTAATCAATTTGAGGGACCTTAACTAATAAAAGAAAAATATATTGAACCTTTCCTACTATCAAAAGTTTGAAAGGGATGTTTCATTAATTTTTTCATAATTAAATGGTGTATCTAAAATTTATTTTTTGACTTTGTTATCTAGAGATTTTTAAAATTTAAAATTAATGATATGGTTAGATAAAATAATAATTTTATACTATTTGAATTTCTTATTTTTTCTTAAAATTAAAAAATTATAGCTCATAGTTGAAAAATAAGGGTAACTAACCTCTGACGAACCTTCTGTATCCTGTAAGAAAAATCATTGCAGAATAATTAGTCATAATAACGAGAACAAAAATGTTAAAATAGATAAACATAGTGGTGTGGGAAAGTTACTCGAAGAAAAATGTTAGAGATTCATAATTTATATAGATAGTTGAACTTTACATGATTAAGTTTGTATTAAAATTAAAAATTGACATGTAATATGCCATGTTATTGTTGGTAAATTAAAAAAAAAATAATTTAAAAGGAATTTTGTGTTGATCGTGTACCTAACCAACAACAAGTAGAGATCTAAGAAAAACTGATGGAACATGAGCCGACCAGTCAAAACTGATTAAAATTTCAATTTTTGGTTTGTTTTTCATAACATATGGTCTTGTCTCGGTTTTAAAATTTTATACCTATGCAAATTGAACTAGCCGAATATTACATCTAAATACTGTAATAATAGAATTTCTTCAACATTATATGATAAGTAACAAATATAATACACTTTTATAATAAAAACTATGGAGAAACATTTATACAGGAACTTTCATGCATTTTCTTCATTTATTTTTAATGTAAAATTTTATAATCTTCTATCAAATCCTTTAAAACTTTATGCAAATTTCTCTTTTACATCAAACTGACAAAATCGATAAAACTGAACTATAGCATACAGTATGTGTTGGCTTCTCAACCATGAAAGCCATAAGGATCGTTTCGATGCTAAATATGCCCTCAACACCGATCAAACCGAACTGTTTACACCCCTAATAACAGAGACTAAATAAATTCATGACCCTAATAATAAAGAGCTGATAGACAAATTACAATATATCATGGGTTAGACACATAGACACATGGTCTTCTTGACTTACTAGATAATTTATGCTTTTTTTAAGGGTTCAATCTTTTTTCAATACATATATATAATTTATTTATTTTATTGTCTTTTAAATATGGTGAATCTCATACATAAATATAACATTTATTTCATCAATACACATAAAAGTTGAAATCAAACCATAAAATATATAATTTGTTTAGTTTGGAGTTTTCTAAAACATTGTTTTTAATATGTATTTTTTTAATAATTTTTTTAAATGTTTTAATCAATACTTTTTACTTTTTTGATAAAATACTTTGGGCATTCCATACATAAATCTAAATTTAGATTACAAAATGATTAAAATACCCATTCCTATGCATATCAACGTGTGGAATTTATGAGTATATTTGGTTTGTGCTTTGAGATAAATTTTCAAAACAAAAAAAAATTGGAAAGAAAGTTTAGAATTTTTTTTAGTTTGTTTGGTTGTATATGTTGAAAATAGTTTTAGAGCTTGGAAATTTGATATTATTTAATATTTTGTTATAGTTGAGTAGATGTGTGCGAGATAAAAAATAATTAAGAATGAAAGAGGAAAGAAAAAAGATGATTGATTGATATATAGGAGAAAGAGTGATTTTAGAAAAAAAAAATTCAAAAAATTTAAACCAAACAAAATTTGAAATTTTTTTCTTAAAAATCATATCTTAACATATAAACCAAACAAGCCCTATATCTCTAAACCATTTCTTCAAACTCTCTCTCTCTCTCTCTCTCTCTCTCTCTCTCTCTCCTCTATCAAATCTGAGATCAAATTTACGTCCACCGCCTCATTTTCCCACTCACCGGCGATGTCGCCACCACCTTCTGCCTACGGATCTGAGATCAAATCTGCGATTCTCTCTCTCTCTCTTTTTCTCTCTCTCGCTCTCTCTCTTCTCCTCATTTTCTCTCCTGCGAAGTCTCCGCCACAGACAGACTCCAAGGCCAAATCCCCGCCGTCGTGTTAGCCCAAGAAAACCTCCCTAGCCACTACCGCGACGGCGACACCACCATCACCAGGTCGGCCTGCAAAAAACACTTAGCCACCACTGAAAGGAAGCAGATTTAAGCCATCTTTAAAGTGTGGCTACAAGACCTTAGGCTACACTTAAGGTCTGAGTAGGATTGGTAACAAGTGTTATAGATTCAAGGGTTAATTAGTCGTGCATCTTGATATAAGGAGTTGTATTTAAGGGTGTTTTGAGATGTTTTAAATAAGTGTACTTTTTGACTTTTTATGAAATATGGGTTGGGTTTGAAGTGATGTGGTAGAGAGGTGATGTGACTTAAATAGGATAGTGACTTTTTGACTTTTTGGCTTTTTTAGTATATGCCAAACAAACTCTTAGTCCCAAAATTTTTGTGTAGACCCAAAAGTCACATTCCATCTCATCTTTCTCTTTCTAATATACACTCACCGGCAACTAGTGACCACCGTTAATTGGGGTTCGGCAACCAGCGATCACTAACTCCTTGCTTTGCCTTCATTAACGGCGATGGAGATGAGTTTCCAGCGATGTTCTTGACATAGATCTATTCAGATCTGGCCAAGATCACATGACAAGACTCACCAAAATATTCAGATTTAGAGCAGATCTGAGTAGATCTATATTAGATCGGATCAGATCTCAACCAAAAATGGTTGCCAAAATAGAATCATCTTTCTATGCCTATCTCTCTCATTCGATCACTCAATTTTTTTTCTTCTTTTTTTTTTGCTATAACTTTTCTTTTCCTGTTTTAATAGAGAAAATTTTTAAGTTCTGAACAAATATTTTTCGAGTTTTAATTACAGGTAGTGAAAATTGTAAAATTTTACAGTTTTAAAGACATGTTTATACTTTTCTCTATGACTCTAGCCCTCTTTTTTTTTTTGACAAATTGAAAATGTACAAACCCCTAGAAACTACTGATCTGAAATATCTCGACCATTGTCGCGACGTGAAATTGTGTTTTGATAAATTGCAAACAAACAAACTGATAATCTTTTTATTTTGAAACTGCAAACTGATAATTTTTTCAATTTTGAAATTAGAAATTTATGTAGTTTGATGAGTAATAAATTCAAACTATAAATTTTTACAATTTTGTGAATGAAAATTATGTTCTATGTATGATAAATAGTTATATATTCTGAAATATCTCGACCATTGTCGCGATGTGAAATTGTGTTTTGATAAATTGCAAACAAACAAACTGATAATCTTTGTATTTTGAAACTGCAAACTGATAATTTTTTCAATTTTGAAATTAGAAATTTATGTAGTTTGATGAGTAATAAATTCAAACTATAAATTTTTACAATTTTGTGAATGAAAATTATGTTCTATGTATGATAAATATATATATATATATATATATATTATTTTCTTTTGTGTTTTGTGGTGTTAGAAAGGATTTGGTTAAATTTTGTGCTCTAATTTCTTTTTTTCTTTTCTTTTTCTTTTTTTTTTTTGGGGGGGGGCAATATTTTGAACATTCTAGTGAATTACCGACGATGTTCTTTATGTCTAGCGATGTTCTAAACATTTTAGTGACTTCCGGGGATGTTCAGAACATTCCGACAAATTTTTGGCGATACCCCGGCAACTTTCCGCCAATATTGAACATTCTGGTGAGTTTCTACTGACTATCAGATGGAAGTCTGGCAATGGTCACCTAGTGGTGGAATATGGTAGCCTATGAAGTATGGGTACTTCAACAAACATGTTGTACCCCTACATGGTGTATGATACTTTGTATGAGACTAAAGGAGTTAATACTAAGTTGGAGATTTGGAGAAAAATACTTAAATCTAAAGGTTTAGGATAAGCAAAATTAAGACAAAGTATATAGAGTGTAATTTTAGTAACAGTCACTATGAAAACTGAGGAAAAGTGAAGATAGAGAATCAAAAACTGTCTAATAGTCAACATTTTTGTTATTTATGATCAATTATCACAACGACAAGGGAGATTGGAGTAGATGTGGTCTATAGAATTAAGGTAGGGTGGCTTAAGTGGAAGAGTGCGTCTAGAGTACTGTGTGAAAAACGAGTATCCATTGGATTAAAATGGAAGTTCTATAGAACGACAATTAGACTAACGATATTATATGGAACAGAATGTTGGGTAACTAAGAAACAACATGTAGATAAGATGAGTATTGTTGAGATGAGGATGCTAAGGAGGATGTGTGGTAGGACTAAAAAAGACATAGTTAGGAATGAGTATATTCAAGAATGGATAGGAGTAGTATCGAAAAAATAGGTTGACAGAGAATAGATTGAGATGGTTTGATCATATACAACGGAGACCATCAGAGGCAGTAGTGAAGATATGTGAGACAGTGACGGTAGATGGTCCTGTTAGGGGAAGGGATAGACCCAAATTGATATGGACTAGTACAGTAAATAGAAATATGAATCTTCTTAATTTGACTAACGAAATAATCTTGGATAGAGTTGAGTGGAGAAGAAGGATTTATGCAACTGACCCCATTTGATGAGATTTAAGGCTTGTTTGGTTTGGTTGGTTTCGTTTGGTTTGGTTAATTTAAAATATGTAAAACTAATTGATGCAAATATTTTATTTTAGAACTAGATAAATTTTGAACTGTTCAAATAAGACCTCCCGATCAGTACTCCTAGATTCTAACAATACCCTTCAATATGAAACACATGACTTTGGATTTAATTGAACCTTTCCTCAAAACAAAATAAAATGAAAAAGAGTGTCCACACACCTGCGACTAAGTTGGATACCCAACACCAGCGTGCTGATATTGATTTGGAGATACAAGGCCCCATATCACTTGGATTCTCCACATCGCGGTCAGCTCTCGTCATCAAAGTCTTGCCTGGCATTACTGCCCAATATCACAACAAACAAGTTATCCATATTTGTTATTTTCTAGTAATGTAAAATCAAAAGTTGTTACTATTTAGAAACTAGACATCATATTAATTTGAAACTCAGTGAAACTAATCCTCTCATGTATAATTTCCTTTTTGTTAGCAAAAGCTGAAGACAAAAGTGTTTGTTGCTCCTGTAAGGCTGTGTATTTAGGTAAGAATTTATAAATGAAAACAAAAATGTGAGTCAAATATAATTACATTATATATATATATATTTAAATTCTTTCAAATTTATGATTTAAACATAGTCTAAAAGTTCACAATCTACTAAACATAGATATGGCTTTTTCTTTGCTTTTTTTATTTGGAAAATTGTATTAATAGTCTCTACGTTTTATCTCTTATGTCATTTTTGTTTTTATATTTTCAATTAACTCCAATTTGACCCTTAATTTTAGATTTAGTATCAATTTAGTCTAATTGATAATATCATTACGATTTTTGAATGAAAATTATGATTAAGTTGGTTGAGATTAACTCACTGAATTGATGAAGTTTATAATTTTGTCTCTAAAAGGATGATACATGTATACACATTTTTCATTAAAAAAAAAATGTTAACTATTAAATCAATTAGATCAAATTGAGATAGTAAAAAAATTAAAGGGATCAAAATAACATAAGTGTCAAAATATAAGAACTAATGGTATAATTTGATTTTTTTTTTTTAACACACGATAAAATATTTATAGATTACTTACCTAAAAAAAAATATTTATAGATTAATAATAATTTTAACGTGACATTTGTCATAGTGAAAGTATTTATACTATATCTATCTATATTATTATTAAGTGAATGCCTAAATTAGTTTAGTGAAACCCTTTTCTCCTCATGTTATGTGGCAACTTTACAAAATAAAAATTTATTATACACAGTGTAAGCAAGTTTTAAACCTAAGAAATTAGGTTACATTACGAATATACTTATCATTTAAGTAACATACATATTATGACATTAAATTCATTATTATTTATTTTTATTGTTAGTTATTTGATTTGCACACACATCGTGTCCTACTAGTTTGAATAAAGTATAAACTTAAACAGATTCAAGTATCTCACACGATTCTAGGGTTTGCGATTTCCGGTGCCATATCTGGCGAGACTCTGACAAGCCTTATAATCCGCTATTTTCATCGTCCCTTTTCGATTATTATCTTCCAAAAGGAGGGGGAGTTGCGTAATTTGGTTATCACGCTCTATCGATGTACCTTTCCCTCCATTTTTTCTCTCACCCCTATTTTTGATCTCTCTTAAACTTGTTTGAGCATGTATTTTTTCTCTCATTTCCTCCTCCAGTTTGATCCAAATCTTTTGCAACTCCTTTATCAAGGCATTAGCAATATTTTTATATTTTGATAATGTTGATCAACGATCGAAACAGATTTGTTGCAAGGGAGGTCCAGTTCTGATCTGTTCTTTATTTTAATTTTTTTGATCAGCAAAAAAGAAACTTTATTGATGACAATGAAAGGTACAAATTGTACACACAAATACATCAATAAAGAGATGAGGGTGCACAAAGCATCACAATGGGCTAAATCATCCCAACTAAGTTGGCACCAAAAAGCCCATCCTATCATTTGCTAGCACCCTCACTAGGAAAACAAACAGAATACAGCAAAACAGCAAAGCAACATAGCAGCATATCAACATAGCAGTCCAAACAACACAACAGTTCAGCTAACAAATCAGACCAAACATGTTAGTTCATCCACCTCTCCCCTTTTGTCAACCACCAAGACCTCATTTGTGGAATGAAGCATTCCCATTCATGACATTTCAGTTAGCCCAAGGCCAAAAGGCATCGCTGCAGCTATCAACCTACTACAGATCCCCAACTATCAACCTTATCAACCTACTACAAATCCTTCCAAGAACTTCCTAATTTGCCTCAAATTGAGAGTGAAATCCTATACTGAGAAATGGAAGTCCTTGAAGAATGGTTTTAACCAAAAAGCAATCTTAGACTTAATTAAATCACAGACCTCAATCTGGTTTGGAATAGATGCTCTAAACACACATTCATTTCTATACTTCCATATTGGCCACATCACAACCAATGGAATGGCACTCCAAATCATCATTTGTCTCTTTTTCAACTTCTCCCCTGTCCACCATAAAAAAAAAAAAAGCGATTAGAGCCTGGTAAAGCAGCTTGAACATCCCACCACTTCAGTATTTCAACCCAAATCTTCCACACAAAGGGACATCAAATTAATACATGGTTCACTAATTCACTGCCAATGTCACAAAACACACGTAATGTGGAGGAATTCTGATTAATAACTCCCACTTTTTGTAAAAACTCATTCGTCTTAACTCTCATTTTCCAAGCAAACCACCCAAATACCTACACCTTGGGAGGGATGTAATTGAGCCAAATCAACTTGGTAATTCTCATGGTTGAACCTGAATTGTCCACAACAATCTTATACAATGCAGCTACAATTAGATCCCCTGAAGGTGAGGCTGACCATATAGACCTATCAATATACTTTGGTCTCACAGCAAGATCTACCAACAGGTGATTAAGAAGCCTATCAAGATCCTACTCCTCCCATTCATACAACTCTCTTCTAAATGCAAGGGTCCATTCTCCTAATATAGCTTTCTTGTCAATCAATACTCTCAAGGACTCATTTTTTTTCCAAAGACAACCTATAAAGATTACGGAATTCATCCTTCAAACATGATCCTTCTAACACTATGTATCAGACCAAAACACTATGTATCAGACCATTCTTCTAACACTATGTATCAGACCAAAACCTAATCCTCCTTCCATTCCCAACCTTCAAATGGAAGTTGTTCAAGTAAAAAGCCTTTAAATTGTTACACTGCTCAGCAATAGAAATGATCCCATTCCATACTGCAAATTGGCTGCTAGTTGGAATAAAAGATGGAATCTAGCATCCCACATCAATCTTATATTTGCTGCAAATTACTCTTTTCCACAAAGCTTCATTTTCACTACCAAACCTCCACCACCAAGCTTCACTTTCACTACCAAACCTCCACCACCATTTAATTAGCAAGTAGTTGTTAACATCATTTATTTTCTTGATGCGTAATCCTCCTTGATCCACCCTTTTAGACAAGTCCTCCCATTTGACTATATGAATTTTTCTCTCTAGTTCAGAACCACCCCACAAGAATGTAGCTTGAAGCTTCTCCAAATCTTTAGCAACCTCTTAAGTCATCTTGAACAACGACAAGTAATACACTAGTAATGATGATGTTACTACTTTTACAAGTGTTAGTCTCCCTGCAAAGGACAACATCTTTCTTTTCCAACCAGCTAATTTGCTTCTGACTTTATCCAAAACTGGTTTCAAAGTTGCTTTTTTCCTTGGGTTAGCCCCTAATGGCATCCTTCGATATCTATTCTTTCTTTATATTGTTTTGTGAGTGGGCTTTCATTTAGATTGTTGTAGTGGTAGGGGCTGTGAGTGTTGTGTGTTTCTATAATTTTATTCAGTTGTTGTTGTGGTTGTTGTTTGTGGACTTCTTGTTTTTTGGACTATAAATATGTTTAAAAGAGGCTTTTTCCTCAACTCTACACCAAATGAAAGGCAAGCTTCAAAGAATATAAAAGGCAAGGGACTTACAATGGACTCAGATTTTTGTCAGGATAACATGAAAAGTAGATTTCCATATGACATGTTTTTAGGTTTGGATCCTCTAGAAATTGCTTTAATCCAAGATACATTGTGTAATGACTTCAATTTTGATTGGGATATTGCCTTGAGGAACATCAAAGCTATAGATACAGATATCATGATGGAAGATATGGGTAGGGACGATATCTTAATTGGGCAAACCAAGGCCAGGCCTTTCCATGTAGCTCATAGTATGAATGATACGGTTGTTATTGATCTAGCTCTTACTTTCTCATCAACTTTGTTAGATGTATAGGAAATGATTCCGAAAAGGTGGCCCATCACATAGTAAGAGTCTTCTTGCAATTGATAACAATGGTGCTTCCATATTTCCAACAACTTCGTTTAAGAAATATAGTTTATGAATTGATTATGGAATGGGTGATCCTAAACAAGGAAATGGTCTATCTCCAAATTGTAATGGTGGGATTGGAAAGGGTCAAAAAAGGGGTGCTACTTTCAATGAACCAAGAAAAGAAAAAGGTTATTATGCGTAGAAACTTCCTTCTCATTGATCTCAACCTAGGCCAATCTCTACAAAATGAAGGTAAGTTTAGATTCCTACATAGGTCTAGTTTGTCAGTTGTCAAGGTCAAGAAAAAAGAGTCATCTCAATCGGCCAAATGTCCAAGATGATCAATTGGATGGCTACAAACTAGTAGTCGTGGGTTCGGCCATCCAATCTTCCTTGATTGACCCAACACCACAATACTTAGAGAGTAGTTCATTATCACAGTATTCCTAAGTTTCAAGTGATTGCTACAAACTAGCAATTGAGGATGTTGTCACCCACACTTCTATGATTGACCCAACACCCTAACACTTGGAGAGTGATTCATTATCACAACATCTTCCCTAAGTTTCGAGTGATTGCAAGGAGCAAAAACAGATATTGGATTCAACGACAATGGTAATATCTCGTAGGGGAGGCTCTAACAGCATCCTAGCATCATGGTTCTAAATCGCGATATCGAGTAACGTAGTCCAAACCAATGAGGGTTAAGACAACTAATGATGTCTTTTATGTCTTTTATGTTTGGTTGTCTTAAACCCTCTTTTTCTTTTTTAGAGTCCGCTAACTATTAGTATGATGGAAACTTCGTTTCATGTTGCCTTATTAATGCAGTTTATCATTCCTTCAAAAAAATTAAAATCAAAATAAATAAATAAATAAAGTATAAACTTGAGGGTAATCACACTTTCAAATTATGACATTTGTGATGTTATTTACCATAAATGTCATAACTAAATCCTCCTTAATCATAACTAAAAAAAGAAGTTGTAACC